ATGAATAATCTCTCTAGAAACATACTTCGCTGTCGAAGTTATCCGAAGTATGCAAGCGCGCATTTTTCTCTATCTGGCTACCCCCATGGTAATACTGTAGTAGTTGCATTTGTTTTGAGCAACATCAGAAACCCTTCAACCTTTGCAGATCTGAGTTTAAACTACAAAGTTCAGTGCTTGCTATCGCTCTATACATGTTTACTCAAGTCGAGTTCTCAAATTAAATGATTCACAGTATCAACCTTAACAGTGAACGCGTTCCTAAAAACCTTATATACAAAAATGGTTGCGCGAAATTTTGCAATCAACTTTATCATCAGCTGATTCTAATTTAAAGAGATATCTGGACCACAAATTACTGTGGTCGTCTTTTACTGAGGAATAGATTACGGTACGTGAATCGCCTTACAAACTACTGACTCTGATTTCAATACCCACACCAGAGTGCCAAAGATACTTGGTATATTGTAGCAATTTAAAAGGTATAACCAACCTTGATGTCCATGTTTAGTATATCTGCTGTTCGCTTAGCATGTCGTAGTTTTAGAACTCCTGTAGTGTGTGTACCAGTTTAGGGTTCGGCCATATTTTATTCCGATTTTCCTTATTTTAGTTCTACTACGCGTTCGGGGACTGCCTGTATTAGTCAAGTGAATATACCCCCTGTCCATAGGTTTCAGTTTCTCTACACAACTTGATGTAAAGTAAGCGAACAAAATTAGTCAACTCCATATTGGTACACACACTTCTAGAGCGCCGTAGTTTCTATATAGCAAGAAGAGCAACACATATCAATATGGTACTGAAGTTCCTTTATCATTTTCCATGTGCAGTTGCTCGAAGCAACATTGCTCTTTATAATTTGAGAAAACTGTTTACACTCACAGTAACTCCACTGAATTCTATCAGAGCAAGGTTACGCGCACTCATTCGGAAAAACAAAAACAAATAGGAAAATCAAATCTCTGAGTAAAGTTTCGGGAGACGACTGCTGTACTACTGAGATTATAAAGAAATATTGAATATAATTATGCGAATACAAATACTGATTTTTCAGATGCCCTGGACTAACATTTTATGTTCATTAAATCATTATTATTTCAAACCATAAACTTTGCAAAATACGAAATATTTCTACAAGTTTCGAATTAGTTTAAATCTGCTATTTATCTACTTCTACGATATCTATCTTAGTCATCTATTCTAAAGTAATAACTAGTATATAAAGTCAATTATCATAAGTTTGATAACATTGAGAAGCAAGAAGTGCTTCATGCTGTCAACCCATCACGCAAGAGCTTATTATCAAACGTGCGAACTATACCAGCTAATGTGCTAAAATAGCGGGATTTTACAGATTCAATATCCGATAATTATAACACTGTTCATTTGCGCTTTGATCTTCACCTCTTAAAATTTCCATTTCTATAATGCTGATTGAAAAATTATAACTAGATACTCCAGAAATATGCGTACCAAGATGGCGGACACTGAGTGTAGTATGTGTACCAGGTTAGGGTTAGGCCATAGTTTTAGGTACAAATACTACGGGAGTCATTCGAATAGTCCCCGAACTCGTAATAGAACTAAAATATGGAAAATTGGGATAAAATTATGGCTTAACCCTAACATGGTACACATACTACGTTTTGGTGTCCGCCATCTTGTAAGTTGGTACGCATACTTCAGGAGTAGGCTACTCAAATTAGTTGGACTGTTCAAGTTTAGGTTTCCCAATTGATGTACCCGTGATGTTTTACTGTGGGCTTCAAATGTTCCTGGTAG